GGGGGAGGGAGAGGGAGGGGGGGGGAGGGGGAGAGGGGGGGGGTGGGAGGGAGGGAGGGAGGGAGAGAGAAGACGCCAACAGGTGAGTTGAATTCTGCTAACGGTATTTCCCTGGGGAAGGAGGCTGAGCAATCCAGGCTTCACCAAGCAGAGGGTCACTTCCAGGAAGGGGAGAGCCTGACAGAACCCCTGGGAGCCTCCCAAGGCTGCAGCGACAGAAGCAGAGACCTGAGGAACCTCCTCCACAGTTCTGTCCTCAAGATGTTAGTCAAATGTTGAAGTTACACCGGATGGAGGCTAAAAAGCTATGCTAAAAACCTTAAGAAAATGGTTAAAATGGTATATTTTATGTATATTTTACCACAATAAAAAAAAGGTTTTTTTAACAGTTTTCGACAGACTATTGTTGGTGCTAAAGAGATGCTCAGGACTTACCCTGACTCTTAGTTGTAACTAACTTACCAGATTAACTACCTACCTACCAGACTTAGTTGAAAGGCCTGGCGGGCTATGATGTAGGAACAGGGGCTGTTTTTTTTTTTAATTAATTAATTAATTTATGGCTGTGTTGGGTCTTCGTTTCTGTGCGAGGGCTTTCTCTAGTTGTGGCAAGCGGGGGCCACTCTTCATCGCGGTGCGCGGGCCTCTCACTAGCGCGGCCTCTCTTGTTGCGGAGCACAGGCTCCAGATGCACAGGCTCAGTAGTTGTGGCGTGTGGGCCCAGTTGCTCCACGGCATGTGGGATCTTCCCAGACCAGGGCTCGAACCCGTGTCCCCTGCATTGGCAGGCAGATTCTCAACCACTGCGCCACCAGCGAAGCCCTTTAACGGGTTTTGTTTTGTTTTTGCGGTACGCGGGCCTCTCACTGCTGTGGCCTCTCCCGTTGCGGAGCACAGGCTCCGGACGCGCAGGCGCAGCAGCCATGGCTCACGGGCCCAGCCGCTCCGCGGCATGTGGGATCTTCCCGGACCAGGGCACGAACCCGTGTCCCCTGCATGGGCAGGCAGACTCTCAACCACTGCGCCACCAGGGAAGCCCCGGGGGGCTGTTTTGATAGGGGCTGTCAGGGAAGGCCTGGCTGAGAAGATCAGAAGGAAGTGAGGAGGTGAGCTCAGGAATACCTGAGGAGGAGCTTTCCAAACAGAACAGCAACTTAAAGGCCATGAGGTGGGAGCATGTTGTTAGCCCGCTGAGTCTTCATGTGGAGCGCAGCAAACCAGGGACTCTGGTGGGAGGTGTGGTCAGAAAGAAAGGCAAGGCCGAGATGATGTAGTGCCCTGTGCCCAGAAAGGACTGGGTTTTAGGCTGGGTGATATGGGGAACCGTTAAGGGGAGGGGAGGGGATTTGACCTGGCCTGTTTTAAAAGGATTATTCAAGCTGATGTGAGAAAGGGCTGAGATAATAGGGGGGCCGAGGTGGGAGCAGAGAGTCGTAGCTTACTGCAGCTGTCCTGTGAACGATGGTGGTTTGAGAGGGTAGCAGTGGAGTTGGTTATTTGAAGGTCGAGCATCAGTAGGATTCACTGGGTAATTTTAAAGGGTCTAAGGGAAAATGAAGGGTTGGGGATCACTGCAGAGTTTTTGGCTTGTGCAGCTAGGTGAATGAGGAAGAAGCAGATTTGCAGTGGAGCAACAGGAATTTGCTTTGGACCTGCTAAGATTAAGATGCTCAGCAGGCTTTCAATCTTAATTCCAAGATTAAGATGCCTAGCATGAGGCAGAGAACTGAATATGTGACTCTGAAGTTCAGGGGAGAGGCCAAGTAGGTGATATCAATTTGGGAGTCCAACCTCTAGGTGTTACTTGAAGCAACTGACCTGCATGAGATTACCAAGGTTTGACTGTAGATAGAAACAAGAAGAGATCCGGAAGCTTGAGGTAGATTGGGGCTATATGAATCTGTACTCATAGAAGCATCTGGGTGAGGAGGGTTGATTGCAGTTTGGGCTTCTAGTAACAGAGGTACTGGGTTTTAGGGCATGTTGGCAGGAATCCCCATGGTCTTTTAGAGCAGGTGGCCAATCAGTGGTAGGTATAGCCTCCTTCTTGGCCTTACCTGTCAGGAAGTTTGTTAGGAAGGGGGGATGTTGGGAGTGGAAGGTGGTCTACCTGGGGCAGACTGAGCTTTGTGCGTGCTTCCCAACCATGAAGCATAAAAGCTTCACAGCCCAAGGGCCAGGCTCCCTACAGGCCGCTGTCTGGCCTCTCTAGATCACCGCAGGCTGCACGACAATGATGCACAACAGGATCCGGCACAGCGCAGTTCCCCAGTAGACGCAGTTTTCAAAAGGGCTGTTTGTGTGCAGTCTGGTCAGTCACCCTTGTGTGAGTGGAAGGTGACAAGATGAGTTGCAGTCTCACGCTGCTGAGCTGGTCGCCAGTCTTGTTTCATTACATCCACGTGCATGTCTACCCTTACTCTGCCCCTAGTTTGTGTTGACATTACTGTTTAACTCTCAAGGAACAACTGCATTTCCTTTCCTTTCAAGTTCTCAAACAGGACCTCATTGTGTCCCCCCAAGTCCTGTCAGCTCATTTGAAAGGGTTTTTCGGGCATCTCCAAGGATCCTCAGCCAAATCTGCCCATGAAATTAATAATAATAAAGCCAGACATGGTGCCAGGATGGGAGACACCTAAGAGGACAAGCTTGGTGACTTCTATATATATACACAAATGACAGCAAAAGAGAGACACATCTTTTGGAATTGGATTAGACTTAGTTGGTAAAACTAGGAGTCATGCTTCCCATTTTCTAATGCTTGTTCTTGAAACAGTTACTGGCGCAGCATTGAATCATTTTCATAAACCGGGCCTTTCTGCACTTTTCACATTACCCTGTAATCAAACACCCTCCCCTCCAGTCTCCAGCCCACCCTCCCCTATGCAGCTGCTCTGAGTGTGGGACAGGCCAATGACAAGGGTTCCATGTTGGGGCCTCAGAGGTGCATGGCGCTTCTACACAGAGCCACACCAAGAGGAGGCAGGGGCTTACCCAATCCCCATCTTAAGGCAGCTTTGGGTGTGGATTCATTAAGCTTGCAAAAGGGGCACCCAGAGAATGTGCAGCAGGAAAGATACTCAGGGTACAACACAGTGTCTTAAATGTGGAAGGATTTAATACATGTTTGTTGAATGAAAAAAGGATGAGTGAGATTGAGAACCAGAAGAACTGGTACTTGCTAGGCTCTGCCACCACTTCACCGTGTGCAAGTCTCTTTGCATTTGGGGGCTTTAGGGTCCTCACCTGTAAAACAAGAGGATTGGACAATATGACCTTCATCAGCTAGATTCATCAGCTTCTCACAATTAGATGATTAACCCCTTTCAGGAGGGCAGACTGGAGAACAGTTAAACACATGGCCTTCAGAGCCAGGCAAGTCACGACAGGAATTCCAGCTCTGTCACTTAGGGTATGACATGGCCAGTGCACTCAAATTCTCCAAGCTTTCTGCACCTTCAAGTAACAAGGTTATTGTGGGGATTGAATGAGATGCTACAGGAACTTATTACAGAGCCTGGTATATAGCAACTGTTCACTTACTGATAGCTGTTATCATTATTGTCAGTATTGCAGAGATGGTGGTGATGAATCAGAAAGAAAGCTTCTTGGAGAAGTCGGAATTTGAGCTGAGCCCTAACAACTAGGTGGGATTTAGAGAGACCCAGGGGGGAGTAAGGTGGGAGAGAGGGGCTCATAAAGGGCAAGGGTCATATAGAGGCAGTAGAACAGAAGGGATATTTCAGGCAGTGGTGGGAGCTGCAAGGAGAAGAGAATTACCCGGT